TACCACTGAAAAAATAGCCACTGGCCATCTATTTACCATGTGTCCAAAATGATCAGTAATCAATGTCGTTATCAGTGTCAATATGGGAAAAAGGGGAGAGTTAAGCTGCAGTTTCCTTTTGTGTCCTCCTTACTCTGTCATGACATTTCATTATTACTCATTTCCCTTCCTTGAAACAAAAGAAGCTCAAGTAAGTGGCGCAGCAAATGCAAACAGAGATGACAGAGCTTTAGGGCTGTGCTGAACACTTCAACTCAATTTGGTCAAATTAACCGCAGAAATTAGAGCTGGCTATAAAATTGCTGGTGCAACAGGCCTTCAGCACGCACTTCTCCTAACCACTGTTCCACCCATGCCCTTCTAATCCAGCCTCAGATTGTTGACACCCAACCGGATCTTTCTCCTAATGATCATTCAGAAGTATGCAAGTCCTTTCAGCTTCGTACTGAGTCCTAGGGCACATGTCCTGGCTGATCCAAAATCATATGATGTTGATGAAAAGCATAATATTTCAGCGTTTCTTTGTTGAGGAGATTATACAAACACTGAGTACGGCTGGTCATTAAATCAGATTGTTCCCACATAGTTTACATTTTAATGGAGCAGATCTTCACCAAGAGAAGTGCTGAGGTGAGAAATGATCCTCGTGTATATTTCTCCCCGTTTTAAACAGCGCTGAACCCTCTCTCTCACTCTAATAGCCCACCTTTTTTTCTTTCTCTGATGTAAACTGTTTTACAAGATAACCCTCTCCTTTTCATGCAGGAGATATGTCAACACAGCATTACAATACTGCCATATCTTGATACCGTATTTTCTCATTCTACTTGGCATATTTTGTCTTATAAGATAACAGCTGTAGAAAGGCACCAATGTTTACCAACAGTTCAGTCTTTACCAGAACTTAGCTACTTGAAGTCTAGGATTGATCATCTTGAGTAAATTACTTTTTTTGTTAAACTTGCTTGGTAAGGGATCCATTCTTACCACTACTATAGTACAAGAAACTGTAACTAGAAGAAAAACCTATGCACAGGACATCTAATAACACAGGTTAATAGTGCAATGAGTTTCAGGTGCAATTTACATGGTTTTATATTAAAAAATCGTATTAATTTTTTTACCTGATTCATGCCCAAGTAATAACACCCTAAAACAGAATTCACAGAGATCTTTAGTTCAAAAGTTATTACAATAACCCTAAACTATGCTGTTAACCACTTAATAGGGACAAGACACAGTAGCGAGCAAACTAGGAAAACAATGTTTTACAATAGATGACTGCTAAAAATGGCTTCCTGAAATTGGAGGAAAGGAGAACGCTGTAAGAGCACATATTCTGTGACTATCAAGCCATCTATTATGTCTTCAGCTCCACCAGAAGAAATCATTCATGCTGAGAAACCCAAATCAAAGTAACATTACAGTAGCTTGTAACACATACAGAATAAGCCAGTGGTCTAAGTAACAGGCACCTATCCAAACTTCCATCTTTTGCCCATCTGTTTAAGGTTTCCATTTTGGTATAGATGGATAGAAGGAGTTGTAGAAAAGACTTGAGATGAATTACATGAGAAATGCTATATTAACATAATTATAAAAAAACGTACCTGACGAGGAACATGGGATAAAGTCAAATTAATATTTTATTGTCATAACTGAAAAAGTAATAATTATGCTTATAATAATAATTATTAGTAAAGTAATAATTATGCTCATAACCTACCGAATAGTCTTCTGCATTTGAAATCCACGCCACTTTTGTGTCCATGTAAACTCAAGCTCAATAATTATTCATCTTCCTGAGGCCACAGATAGATAGATTTATTCTTCAGATCCAGCAGTGTCAGAAGAAGAAATTATAATTACAGGTATTTGTCACCATCCTCTGTACTGAAGCTTGGCACCTTCAGTGACCAGTTTAGCTAGCCTA